TTTCATTGTTTGTGTTACTGCTATTTTGCCAATTTGAGTAAACACCCCTCAAGTTTAAGTTTGGGAATGTTGTAGATAATAAACCCCCAACTTTGAAATTTTAAGAAAACCCATAAACTTTTCCCATTAAACCCCCTAACATTATTAAGTTCAACGTGTCAAGTAACTAGTATGTGACTTAAAACGACTAAAGATTCCCCTTGTTCATATGTTGACATTAGGGTGGTTTTCTGAGATAAGGTTAAAGACCATGAGAGTTTTGTGGGACACAGGAGAGTAAAAATTTCCATCTGCAGTTATATATTTTAATATTTATTATTTTAGAGAAAGATTTTAGGAGGACATAATCTGAAGAGCCGCTAAGGTTTACTCCATTTTTTAAGAAGCCCCTATGTTTTTATTTTTGACAAAAAAGTTCCTAAGTTTTCCCTCTTTCTAAGAAGCCGTCGATTCTTTATGTGAACAATGAAGACCTAAGTTTTATCCTTTTCTTGTGAAAAGCCCTAAGTTTTAACCTTCTATTTTAAGAAGCCCTCAAGTCATCTGGTTAATTTAGAGGTTTTGTTGTCAAAAAAAAGAAAGTTGGGATATCTTAGAAGAGTGGCATAAAACTCAGGGGTATGTTTGTCAAAAATAGAAAGTTAGGAGCTTCTTAGAAAAGATGGGAAAACATATAGGCTTCTTTATCAAGAATAAAAACTTAGGGACTTCTTAGAGGGGAGGAGCAAATTTTAAGGGCTCTTTAGACTATATTTTCAAGACTTTCAGGATTTTTCTACAAATTTATTTTAAATTGAAAATTTCAGATAGAACTAACTAACATTGGTTAAATAGCACGCTTATATACCGCATTGTTTCATCTAGTTTTCAGTTATACTCTCACTTGCATTTGGTAGCAAGAAAACATCCTAACAATTTTTAATTTGTACTTATATATCCTCACATGTTTTTTTAGCACTTATATAGCCTAAAGTTATCAAAACTGGCACTTGAATACCATAACGTTTTTAATTCTGACACTTAATTATCCTAAAGTTTTAAAACTTGCACCTAAATACGCTCAAGTTTGCATTACTGAGGGTATATATGTGCAGATTTTAAAAACATTAGGGTATCTAAGTGCTAGTTGTAAAAACATTAGGGTATTTAAGTGTTAGTTGTTAAAACATTAGGGTACTTAAGTGAGGGTATACAAATGCAAGTTTAAAAAAACTTTAGGGTATTTTTTGCTACCGTATACAAGTTGCTAACATTTTATCTCACCCTCGGTTCCTTCCCAATTTACAATCACTGCCCCTCATCAGCGACATAAATTATAAATATGCTTATCCCATCTCGTTTCCCCTTCAACCGCTCCAATCTTCATCGACGAAGATAATAAAAAGCGCCACAGAGAAATCTAGGGTTTTCTCAGTTGAATTTAGGGTTTATAATCGATATCGGATCTCTCGTTTCTGTATCAGTTCGATCTCGATCCGTCTTCTTAATTTCTGATCTCTGGTTCTATCGATCGAAAGATGCTGGGGCCTCGAAAGCTATTCAAGACGAAGCTTTGCATGCTGTATCAAAGGGGCCGATGCTCTCGCCCTAACTGTAACTTCGCCCATGGAGATGCTGAGCTCCGGCGATTCTCCGCTAGATCCTCTTCTTTCAATGGTATTGACCTCACTCTCAGCATCCGATTAAGCGATGATTTTGATTTGTCGTTGATTTATTTGTTTTGTTTAGTTCTAGAATTTATGATTGTTGATTGTATACATCAGCTTTCTCCTTTTGTTCGTGGCTGTAAAAAGTTCATTTTGTTTATTTTTTTAAAAAAAGTCGTGTACACTACACAGTTTTACGAGAGTTCTAGTACGTGGGCATCAAAATTTTAATCTTAAATGATGTAATTAACCTCTTGAAGATAAAATCAACTCAACTTAAAAGGTATCTTTAGTTGGAATACTATGGAAAGGTGGACAATAGAGTTAGACACATTCGTGCTACCATTTTTCTCAGGCTTTCTTCTCCTTCTTCTTCACGGCAAACATCAGAGGAACTCCGAAGTAGTTTAATTACTTACATGTATTCAATAGGGAAGCCCGAGAATTTTCTGAGTCGGACTCCTTGACGATGAGCAAGTGTAGAGATTTTAAGTTTTTCGCTTGGAACAATACAGTGTTGGTTTTCAAATGTAAAGAACATATCTTTTCTTTCATATTGTTTACTTTAATGTGGACTTGATTTTCAACTTCTGTTATGTGCAATACCTTATAATGCTTTGTATTTGCAAGTAATTATTGGCTTGGAAATTTGTTGGCTGCAGATGACAATGATTTCCTTGTTATCTTGTGCTCATAATCTGCTCATGTGAAGCTTATTGCTGAACAATTGTGGCTAATAATTGGTTCCTTTATTTACCTTGTTGTAGCTCAACTCTTCAAAAGTAATTTTCCAACAGTATTAACTAGTATTTACAGTGGCACCCACATGCGGATCATCAGTGTGAGGCTTATATCGTGTGAAAGGTCAAGTATCTTCTCAGTTGAAGGATGGATTTTCTGGTGCTTCTTGTCTGGGCTATTGGGTTTTTGATATATGTCCCATGGTTTCTATTAATGGTTCCTTATCACAGCATTTCTAAAAGATCATAGACATTATATTTGCTTCATGATTATCGGAATGCACGCCGTGTATTATTCTCTCTGTATTACTAGCAGGTGCAGTGTGTAGTCATGTTTTAAGTCCTGCAGTTTTGCATCTATTATCAGTTTCAATGTGGAATTCACATTAATCAATACAGTCAGGGCTCCGGACGTGATATATTGGAGTTCCACTTGCAGGATTTTATGATCAGACCAGAACACATTTACTGGATGAAGTGTTCTTTCTTCATCCTGTCTAATTATACTATTCAGGAAAGGTCTATACAGTTGCCATCAGACTCCTTCATTGCTCCTGAAGGAAGTTACTTCATCTTCTTAAGGGTTCTTTCAGTGATCCTAAGGTTCTAGATGCATATTTTTCATATAATTTGTAGCCTCACTATATATGTGGCTATTTGGAATTGTCATGGAAGAAGTACTACTTCTTGTCATTATCTTGTATAGCTCAGGATCTGGTAAGGTTGATGAGATCTATGGCTCCTTCTGTCTCTCCTTCTGATCTCAGAAAAAGGCGAGTCTCCTTCCTTCCTTGAATCTTCTCTGATTCCACAATTGCAGGTAGACGGGACTACAGAGCCGGTGACCTGAGAGGTAAACTTGACAGAAGGTATTCTCCTGATCGAAGGCATTCTCCAGTAAGAGATGCAAGAAGCCATCGCGCTTTTCATGTTCAGAGACCACTTTCCCGTGATAGAGGTAAGTATTCTTTTAAATATGTTATTCATTGTCTTTGCCATTTGCATGCAATATTTTTGCAGAATTCATCTCTACGTTTGTACTCACTTTTACATGTAGTTTTCATTTTTGTTTTGGTTGTGTGCGACTTTTCTGTAATGTCCTCATTGAGACATGGAACTCCTTTTGCAGGAAACAGCTTTTCAAGATCTCCTATCAGGAGGAGGTAAGGAACTAAATTTACTTCTATTCTGTCAATTTTGTTTTTTCTTTTTTCTTTTTTGTGTATGTACGTGTTTTAGATTCTAAGAAAGTTACATAGAGCAGTCCTGGAAGTCCTTGCTCAAGGGAGCCTAACACTATTTTGGAAAGCCACATAGTGCTATACCACATGAAATGAAGTGTCACATAGTTTAGAGATGTGGTTGGGTGATTTTGAGTCTACCTCTAGCATTGTTTTAAATATCCCCGACATGGGTTGATATATCCCCCGATATATCTTCTTATAGGCGGTGTTTTAAATTTCGGCCGATAAACCGATACTATAGGCCATTTATTGGTCTTGGAAGCCTTCCACTATGATAAGTTTGATTTTAAATCGGTTATCGTTTTTGGATGTTTATCGGCGATAATGTGGCGATAAAGTGAGTTATCGGTCGATATTGTCGGCTCAAAGTATTGGAATTATCGGCCTTTGGTTTAGGTTTAGGTTTGCTCTTTGGATGTTTAAGAATTATAAACTATTTGTTGCTTTTGGAACTTGGTTGTTTGGTGATTAGCTTTCGTTTGTTTATGAATATTGACATGGCTCATAACTATGAAATCTCAACTTAGTTTATAATTAGTTTATGATCTCGTGATTACACAATAATTTTGTTTTTGATTCTTCATTCTTTATGTTATCTTGTTATTTGCTTTTATGTTTTTTTATTTTTACTAACTATGCACTTGAATGGTTTCATTGTGTGATCAAGAAGCAAGTTTCTACCATTGGTTAGCGATCCTAAACATAATTTACTATTTTAAAAAGCCTCTGTCTAGTCCGCTTGGACGTAAACCTACGCCTAGGCCTAGGCAGTACCTAGACCGCCTAACTAGTGCCTAGCGTCTAGATGGTATCTAGACTGCCCACCTAGGTTTTGGGAGTGTTTAGGGGGGCATTGTCTGGTTACGTGGACTACACCCTTTAGGCATTGATCGCGATTTTTTGTGTTGCAGCCTCCACGTCCTCTAACATCCTTCAAATTCCTTCAAACTTCAAATATGAACATCTACACTACCTCCTTCGACCTTCAACAAAACCTCCTCGACCACCACTTAAATGAAGAAAGAAATCCGTTTAAACACCAGTCCAGTACCTAAGCTTTTTATAACATTAACATTTACTATCAATTATTGCAATTAAAAAACCCTCCTAAGCTCTAGATGATGGGTCCAACGCCTAGACCTCCTAGCGCTTTCTATATCCTTCTTGGTCATTATTTTAGCTATTTAGCATTTAAGTATGCAAGGTTAATTGTGGATCTAAGATTGCTATTTATTTTTTTTACAAATTTATATGAATTTAATCAAATAATTTCAAAACTAGCCAAACACCTCGGTGCCGCTTAGGCAACCAGGCACTAGGCATTGGCTCAAACGCTTAGTCCGCCTAGCGCCTTATGTAACATTGACATGATTATTTACATTTTGGTATGTTTATATTTTATTAAGTATAGTTAGATTACATTTTAGGATATTATAGTATGTATATACACTATCCGGCAATATTACTTCGATAAATATTACTTATCCTCGATATATCCCGACATCTGCTATCCGATATGGATTTTGACCATCCGATAGATCCCCGATAACCGATATTTGAAACCTTGCTTACATGGCTTGCCACAACTGATATGATCTTTAAATACCATTTACCGTTTTTTGGGTATTTTGGGCGGTATATCCGCGATATGACCGATATATCAGCCAATATGTTGGCTGATATATGCTTTTATATGGCTTGTCACAAAACAATATACTACATTTGATATTTTTTGGGCGAGATATCATAACTTTTCTATTATATCAAATGACATTTTGTTTGAAAAAAATCAGACCAAATGTTGCAATATTGACTTGTACTTTTGTTTGTTTTACAATGCTGATTAGTGATCCTAAACGTATATTATATACATTCGTATGCTTAAACTTCCGTAAGTGTGTAGAATTACATTTTAGTGCATTATATTATATATGAAAACATCCGTTACAACATTCCAATATTTACCACATATCCCTGACATCCGCAATCCGATATGAATTTTGGCCATCCGATATTTCCCCGATATCCGATATTTAAAACATTGACCTCTAGGATCTCACACCACATGGTGAAGTGAAAGTATGGACAAAGGATGGGATGTTGCACTCTTTTGTGTGTGTGTGTTGGTGGTGGTTGTTTCCTTTTTTTTATTTTTTATTTTCTTTTTTTTTTTTTTGGGGGGGGGGGGGGGGGGGAAACACCCTAAACGAGGTATACAAGTACAAGCTCAATAATTAACCATTGTTACATAGAAAACTTCTGAAAAGTCCTTGCTCAAGGGAGCCTGACACTACTGCAGAACTAAGTGCGACGTGAATCTAAGTGTCACATCATTTAGGATATGGTTGGGAGCATTTGAATCCATGGAGACAGACTCCTTTGGAATCTTACACTGTAGTGAAGTGTGAGTATGGAGAGGACGCCACCCTTTAGGTTGGGGGGGTGGGGGGGTTAGAACTTTTGAGATGGAATCGGAAAAGACCTAGTTGCATGACCTTTTGAGAAGTCCTCTTGCTTAAGTATAACATTGTTTGACTGGGTAAATTCCTTGATGAAGGAATTGTAGAGTCAATTAGTTTCTTGGTTATTCTGGCTGGATACTTTGGCTTTTATAATGCTTATATTAAAGTTGTATTAAGTATGAAGTTCATAATATTCCCCACTGATTACTTTGTAATTCACAAGCTGTCATTTATTCACAAAGCAATCCCTATTGTTTGCATGGTTGTCTCAGTGAGAGAGAGTATAGGAGGAAACAACATGTAGATGGAGAAAGTGATCGGTCTGAGAGTCTTAAGGCCTCTGATGGTGCTGAAAATCCAAAAAAGCAGGACAAGGTTTCAACATATGACAAGAACTGTGATTTTGAAGAGCAGGTTTGAATTAATTGGCTTACAACTGGCATGTTATATGATAGATTACAATACACCTTTTTTTACGTGTTTACTGATCTATTTATCTTTTTTCTATTTTGTTTGTTTAGTTAAAGCAGGTACAGTCAGATATTGTGAGGCTTGAAGAGCATAAATCCCAACTGAAGGTACATGACTTTTATTTTATGGTATTATTAATCCTTTTGGATCTAAAATGCTTTATCTATCTTTAACATTTAGAACAGAGGGTTTTGCTAACTGATTATTAAAGTTACCGATTAAAATATTGTATTCATAAATATAGGGATTAGTTTTTTTACTTTTTTATAACATGTTTTACCTTTTTGGTTATCTCTATGTGGAAGTA